CCGAGGCGGAGCGCTACCGCCTGGAGAAGCTCGCCGAGGCGAACAAGGAGAAGACGATCATGGAGGCAGAAGCGGAGGCCGAGTCGATTCGCCTGCGCGGCGAAGCTGAGGCGGCGGCCATTCAGGCGAGGGCCCGCGCCGAGGCGGAGACACTGGCAAAGAAGGCCGACGCCTTTAAGCAGTACGAGAAGGCCGCCAAGTTGGAGATGATTCTCCAGAAGCTGCCACAGGTAACATGGATCATTTTTGGGATGATTTCAAGTCACTAACTAACAACTTCGTCTCCCTTTCCCATCTAGATCGCCTCTGAAATCACCGACCCGCTGTCGAAGGTGAACAAGATCGTCATGGTCTCCAACTCTGACCAGATCGGCGTCTCGAAGATGACCGGCGAGGTGCTGGACATCATCGGCAAGATCCAGTCCACCGTGACCAACATTGCCAACAGCGACGCTGCAGTAGGTACTTACCAAGTTCAGCCAGTAGACACCTCCCTGACTAAATGCTTACCTCTTTTTCTCTTTTTCTCCTCTTCTTCTCCAGACGGCGGCCGGAGGTCAATCAAAGCCTGAGTATGTCAAGTAAAATGAACAAGCGGGGCACCACCACACCCCCGCCACCAGTATAGTATTCAGCACCGCAGCGCCGTTATTTTATTATTTCTTATATCACCGTGCATGTGCCTGCCAAACTCTTCTCCTTTTTTCCGTTACATTTTTGTTTTTCTACACTTTTCTAATCTTTGTTTTTCTCGTGTGCTGCCATCTTGAACCCCCTTATCTTTATGCGCTCTTTGACGATTTTCATTTCTCCCCAATTCTTTTATCTCGCCATAGATTCTACCATCCTCACACGTCTTCTCGATTATTTTCGTCGTTTTCGAAGTCTTGAGCTTCCCTTCTCCTCCTTCTCCTTTTCCTTCTGTCCGGAGCCTATGACTAACCAACTACAGAGGATTACTAACCACCAAAACTTCCGACCACCTAATTTATCTTCTTTTCCCACTAACCTTCTTCCTCTTCTTTCACTTAATCTCTGCTGTGTTCATCTTGTTTTTACCTTCTCTTCTTTCCTTTCCTTCTGCCACAAAACAACCGATTCCGCTTCCTCTGTACCATTTCGTTCGACGTACGGCTCTAGTCAGAAGTACACAACCACACACACAGTTTTATTCTATCAACAAACACAACATCAACAATTTATTCTTCACAAACGGTTACTTTCTTTCATTACGAAGAAGCAGTATAAAAATGTACGACACAACCACCCCAACACACCCACACACATCTGTTATTACTTGTTATTGTACTCGTCGTCGTCGTCCTCACTCGGCGGCGGCGGCGAGACAAATTGGCGCAATGTGCATTCACAAAATATTGTAAAAATGGTATTCACACACTTCTCTTTCTAATCAGAACGGGAGAGGATATGCTTGCAGGGGAGGGAAATGCTGTTGGCTTGAAATAAAATCCCCCTTTACTCTCTCACTCTCACTCTTTGATGATACGGTTTAAAAAGTTGTTTAGAACGGCAGATGTCATTGTCACTGTCAATTGTCGCCTATTCACGCACGAGTATCCAACACTCAATTAGTGCCTCGCTTGTGTGTCACACTTTTAGCTAGAGCCAGGTCGCAAATCGATCGATTCTCGCTAATTGTGCTTTG